TAACGATTAATGTAAGGAAAAAAAAAGTTGAAGATAGGGGGGAGGGGGAAAAAAGAAAGGATTTTTATGGTGTATTTATATATTTTTTTTTTGATTTTTTTTGATTTTTTTTTGATTTTTTTTTTTTTGTTTTTTTTTTTTTTTTTTTTTTTTTTTTTTACGAATTTAATTTGTTTAGTCTAAAAATCCAATTATAAAATGATACTTATCAAAAAATCAACAATTGGATGTGTAGATATATTGAAATCTTTCAATTTTTTCTTTATAAACAAATATTATTGTTATTTGTCAAATACTATAAAAATGAAGTTTTATAATCATTTGGTTAGTGAGATTAATTTAAATATTGTGATTTGATTATATATAGTAAGTGTGAAAAAAAAATTCTTTTTTTTAATTAAAAAAAAATTGGGGATTGTTCTAACACTTCTTTAAATAGATTAGATCTACTAAAATTTGATTGTAAATTGTTACAAATACATCTGAAAGATCTTAGGTTATGTGATATTTAGAAATAAAATCATTATCATAAAATTTCCGAAAACCAATTACCTATTTATTATATGGGTTATCATTTTTTATTTTTATTAAAATATCCAAATCAAGGTTCAAACAAAGAGATTGAAATCCACATTAAATAAGAAAGGTTCTCACATCAAAAACAAGCATTCCAAAGAAAAATTATATATCTGCGGAAGAGTAAAGTTGACCGCAAGAAATGAACATAAGAAAATAACGAGCATCCCCATGGTGGTAACTTTGTCGAACCTTAAGTCCTTGATTCAACTTTGAATGATGATTCACATTTTCTCGAACGCAATGATCATTATCCACCGTGAGGAAGATACATCGCAAAAGTTAAAGTTTTAGAAAATACTAACATTCGCATTTGTCAAAACATGTATAATTTGTAGAACAGCATCAACCAACCAACCATCAAACGAACGATAAGGAATGAAAGTGAGAAAGAATCATTTAATTAGTTGTGAAGTTATTTTTAACGAAGCGAAGTAAAGAATAACTCTACTGTGCAGATAATGACATTGACACGTAAAAACTCACGTCTATGCTAATAGCTGTATAAGGCGAATAACCACATGTAAATTACTTTGGGATCGATTTTTGACCAATGGGCAATGTTAAATTTACTAATATTACCACCGTAAAAAATTTTGACCGATTTGGAAATTTCTTCCTGCAACCTGTTTTGAACTGGATTTAAAGATGTTTATAAAACATAAAAGTATTATAATTGAGATCTATCATTAAGTTAAGGTTCTCTGAACACAACAAAATACACATGAAATTTAACGCCTTTATGATTTTGAAATTTTAGCTGAATCAAGAATGATATGTGGCAAATGTTTATATTGATAGAAAAATTAAAAGAGAATTCAAAATTGCCAAATTAGAAAGAAAAAAAAAAACTCAGGGTACACGGATGCATTCTACGGGAAATTTCAACCATCTACTTTAATTTTAAGCTTCATTTATACATTAATCAGATGATTTGTAAAAAATGGATCTCAATTTCATTGTTGCTGCACATCGAAAGTTTGTTCAGAAGCCCCCGGTTCTAACATTTCAAAGTTCTGTCCCTGTCTCTCCCTTAAATAGTTGTTTTTAATAACATGTGCAGTCTAATTTTCCTTTTTTTTTTTTTTTTTGCCAAATCGAAGATCAATTGGAGAGTTGGCGGCATAAGTCTTATCAAGTATATTTGACAATCTAATTTATAATTACATTACATTTATATTATTTATATTGCATTGCTTATATTATCAGACAAAGTAATCAAATCTTGCAGCAGTGAATTCTCTCCCCTTCTGTTATTTAACCAAGAAAAAAAATATTTTTTTTTTGATGAAATTTGAATCAAAAATTTTTATTTTCAAATTTTCTTTTTCTTTCTATTTTTTTTTTTTGTCCTGACAATTCCAAATATTTGTCAAGAAAAAATTCCCCCTTTTCGTACTCCCTTTCCCCCCCCCCATCAAGTCCCTCACCTAGAATTACCTTTTTTGAAATTTTTATCACTAATATTTCTTACTTCGGGGTTACCCTATTATAGTCCTTATTATCACATATATACCAAAAAAACCAAAATACCCAAATTTTTTTCGAGCTATTCCCTTCCTTCAAAAGAGACGACGTTTATATATATCTATCTATATTTTATACTTCTCCCAAAACCTCGATTATAAAAAAAAAAATTTTTTTTTTCAGTTTACGAATAAGCTGTCAAGCACGCTATTTATTTGAATAAAAAAAAATTGTTTTCTGATATCTGGTACCGCGTATATAGCGCGTCATCTACAACCAGAAAACTTTTAAAAAATATTTTTTTTCAAGACCATTTAACCCTTTTAAAAGATAATACCGGTTGTCTTTCTGAATTCAAACTTTTTTTGTTCTACATCATACAATAGGTTATCCCTTTTGTAAGACCTTCATTTTCTAGTACAAAGATTTTCTTTTACAAAGATGAATAATATCTTTCCTAATAAAAAGAAAGATAAAGTGATTAGCGTTAATAATTATGAAAACGAGAGTGCAAATGGTTCAAGTTCGGAGGCTGTTATTACGTCAAATGCTAATCAATCAACATATCAAAGTGAAGGAAATGATAATGATATTGGAACTCAGCAATCTTTAACGACACGACAACAGACATCACCGATGCAACCACAATCTTCACAGTCACACCATTCAAGTTATATGCAAACACCCGGTGTTGCCCTGATCGATTTCATGTTATTAGAAACTTTAGGTATGTTATCTTTTAAAAAAAAAAGAAAAATTTTTATTATCTTAAATTTGATTTATACTTTTTATAAATAGTTGATAAAACTTTTTTGTTAAGATTAAAAAGACAGGTTGAACAATATTTTTTTCTTCATTATTTTTTAAAAAAATATATATATGAACATAATTTAAATAGCATATCAACTGATAGAAACTTTAGTGTCAATACATTAACTTTTTTGGTTTCCCTCAAAGTGATCATTAAATATATCCACTTATCAATAATCGTTTATTATCTTTGTTTATTTTAATCAATTAGGAACCGGAACCTTTGGTCGGGTGTTTTTGACCAAATTTAAACCCACAGAAAATTATTATGCAATGAAAGTATTGAAAAAGTATGAGGTGGTGCGACTCAAGCAAGTCGAACACATTAACTCTGAAAAGTTAATTCTTAGTCAAGTGCATCATCCGTTCATTGTGAATTTGTGAGTTAACCAAATCTTTCGTCAGTGTCAAATTTCATTAATTATAATTAATGAAAATCAATTATCATGAACTGACAAAAGTTTTTCGAAATTTATTTCAAAGGTTTTGCACATTTCAAGATGATCGAAATTTATATATGCTGCTAGAATACGTTATTGGTGGTGAACTTTTCTCCCACCTGCGGAAAGCTGGACGATTCACTAATGATATGACAAGATTCTATGCGGCGGAAATCGTTCTCGCGATTGAATACTTACATTCTAAAGATATTATCTATCGAGATCTTAAACCAGAAAATCTACTATTAGATTCAAGAGGTCATGTTAAGATCACGGATTTTGGATTTGCGAAAAAAGTCGCTGATCGGTGAGTTTAAAAGTTCATGATAAGATCTATGTAACAAAGAACTTTTCGTTTACATATATAAATCTTTAAACATATTTCTCTAGTACTTGGACGCTATGTGGAACACCCGAATATCTGGCACCGGAGATCATTCAAAGCAAGGGTCACGGAAAGCCCGTAGATTGGTGGGCTTTAGGGATCTTAATATTCGAAATGCTTGCGGGGTAAAAATTCTTTCTATTCTTCTTATTCTTCTGCCTGTGAACTATAAAATTGTTGTTCCGTTTACTTTATTTGCTGATTTGGTAAAAAAAAAAAAAAAATTTTATAGATATCCACCTTTTTTTGATGATAATCCATTTGGCATTTATGAAAAGATCCTCGCGGGAAGAATACAATTTCCATCACATTTTGACGCGAATGCGAAAGATCTTATCAAGCGCCTGTTAACGTCCGATCGCACAAAACGCCTGGGTAACCTCCGTGGGGGTAGTGAGGATGTAAAGAAACACAAATGGTTTCGAGGTGTTGATTGGCAAGGCTTGTATGACAGACGGGTTACAGCTCCAATCGTTCCACCATATCAACATCCAGGCGACACTGGTAATTTTGAAAAATATCCGGAACCTACTGAAGAAACTGGTGAACTTGGTAGACCCACATCTGGTGTTGATCCGTATCGTCACTACTTTACAAATTTTTAAACTTTTTCACTAATTGGGAGACGAGACATTATCACCCTTATTGAGGAAGAAATGAAACACGAATGTAATCATAAAAGACGATTTCGATGCTGCGTTTGGTCTATCTAATTTTATTTTAATTATTATTTTTATTTTATTTTATTTGTGAAAAGAAAGGAATGAAATAATCCTGGTTCAAACATGTATATTGGTCTTGGTATTTTTTTTTTTGCAACATCAGTTATTTTGTCTTATTTGATTGTCTGTGTATCTAGTTTTTCGGATTTCAATAGTTTCTATTAATATAATATTCGTATATTATAATCCTCATTCAGTTTAATACAATTGTTTAGCTTTTTATCTTTTTTGATCTTTGTGTTCTGTATAGGTTTCTTTATTAACGTTTTCATTTCTTACTTTATTATCGATCATAAGTAACAACAAATCTTTTTTTTGTAATAACATTAATGCATTCTTGCTATATTGCATAAGTGGGTCTTTTTTTTTCCTGATTCTTTTACTTTTATTTTATTTTCTTTTTAAGTAAGAATTCTTTTTTTTTTTCTTTATTTTTCCTTGTGGTTGGGATTTTTTTTTTTTCTCTTTTTTTTCTTTTTTTTTTTTCCTTTTTTTTTTTCCTTGAACAAAAAACTTATTATATATAGTACAAATTTATATATATATATTTTTTTTTTTTTTTTTTTTTTTTTTTTTTTTTTTTTTTTTTTTTTTTTTTTTTTTTTTTTTTTTTTTGGTGGCTTGGTGCATGCGTTTTGTTTTTTTTTCTTTTCGGCACAAACAAAAAAAAAAAAACTT